TATCTCGGCAAGTTTTTCAACTTGTTCATTTGACACCATTCAAAACCGATTCATTATTTTGTACACTAATTGTAAGATTTCAACTCACGAACTTTTTCTAGGGACAAAACTCACAACGAAACTGTGAAGACAAAGATTGGCGAATAAATGAAGTGGAACCTCTTGGTCGCTTTATATAGAATACAAAACACCGGGGAATCACATATGTACGAATTGTGTTGTCAAATATTCTCCGACGCATAAAACTCACGTATCGCAATATTGTACTGGTCTTAGGGTCTCGGCTAGTACGAGCTCGCTAATTATAAACAGTCGAAAGAAATGTTCAAGTTGAAAAGAAATAAATCACTTAATTGTAAAAAATTACAAATAATGTAAATAAAAATAATCTCCGTTTCTTCGTTAATAAGTAAAGAGTGCGACTAACTCACATAGATGTAATTCTAAATATCATTCTCTTTTTAAAAAAGAGTAACGCAACTGCTATAGTGGGGTATCAGACCACCCCAAGCGTTGCTTTTCTCAAAAATGGTTAAAAATAAAAAATTTCTGATAGTGCTATATTAAACATATCAATGTTGTAGAAGAATACCTAAAACCAAATAATTGAAAAAAAATTGGTTTAAAAGATATGAAGCAAAAACTGGTGTCTGGGGTATCGAAACACCCCAGTGTAGTAGTTGAGGGATAAACGGTTTATGGAAAAATCGCTGAAACGGATCTAAAGATTTAAATTTTTTGCAATTTTTTGGTGTAGATTTCAAATTTTTTCCGCCATTTTTAAACCAGTTATGGCGTCATCGATATTTTTTTTAAATGGCAATCCCCCATTTTTATTGCGCAATATGAAAGAGGATTTTTTTCTGAATCTAGTACAGTCAATATTAATATTGGTTCAATATTAATTTGTTACATAAGAAAATTTTCGAGAAAAATTACCTTAAAGTTTAATGACTTCAAATTTGTATAATGATAAAAATAGCGTAGCCATGAGTAACTATGGTAACCAATTATTCTAAACAATTCCCTGAGTGTCAAAAACTGATTTAGTAAAGCTTCTGGAAGTGTGGCGGCGCGCCATCTTGTTGGAATAACTGCTGTTGGAATTGAGTTGTTGAAGGTTTCCTCAAATCTTTTGCGGATATTGGGTGTGCGATTTTCTTGGCTAATTTGGATTGTAGGTAGCGCAATAGCGACAACTTTGTCTATTTACTTGTCCACTCAAAAATTATGTTTTTGACAAAGTCTTCGTCATCGCTGCAAAATTGTTGTTGCAAAAACTACAATTCATTGCTTGTGAATCAGGTTTACTTTATGGGAATGATATTTTGCGGGTTTTAAAGTTTTATGAACCATGAGGGTTTTCTTGTCCAGCCAAAAGCACGATTTGTTGAACTTCCCTTGCAACATTTAGTAGGCCAAACTTCGAGAAATGCTTCGAGAGATGGCCATGCTGTTTAAATTTAGTCAAAGCTAGGCTCGCCATAGTTTGGCTAATGAGTTGCCGATCAGAATATGTTGTATTAAAGAGGTCAACTACTTACTAAATCAGTTTTTGACACTTAGCAAATTGTTTAAAATAATTGGTTACCGTAGTTACTCATGGCTACTGCTATTTTCATCATAATTTTTCTCGAAAATTTTCTTATGTAAGCAATATTAATATTAACTTTAAGTTGTTATCAGTAGAAAATAACAAATTATTTTAGGTCAGCCAATTATGGTTACTATTTAAAAAAATTAAGTTACGTCTAAAATCTCGAAAATAAAAGATGGGAAAAAAATTCTACCTACGCCACCGAATTCTTCGTAAAAAGTTGCCCATATAATGTTTTATTTATAATACTCCATCTTTGATAATAAGTGAGATATTCGCGATTGTCGTTTTCGCAAAATTTTTAGTTTTTCCCGATAGGGCGAAAACAAAAGACGATAGCTGTTCGGAGTTTTCGACATTAACATTTTCTTGAAAAACGAGATCATGCTACTTTTTTATATCTCTTTTAGTTTTGGAGATAGCCTATGCGGACATCGAAATTGGGACATCCTGTACGTTGCTGCTACAGACATTATGCCATTAGCAGTTTGAAGTTTTACCACTGTAGTTTGGTGTTGTTCAGTACTAATTGTATTGTTCAAATAGTGGTCAACATTACACGGATTAGCCGCATTACTCGGGTGAATTGTATGATAAATATTGTAATGGTTGATGTTTATATACGATTCTCGTGTAAAGTGAGTTTCAGAGATAAGACATATATCAATATTGTTTTCTTTAAGTATTATTGGTAGTGTGTTTTGATGTTGTCGAAGACTATTGGAATTCCACAGCATTATTTTTAGTTGCTGCTTTTTAGACATTTTTTTAGACACTCTCCTTGGTTTAAATTGTTTTCAATGAAATCTAGACGTGTATATAATGTTTTTATTGTTTCTTCTTGTTGAAATATTTTTTCTAGTATTAGATCTAATTTACTGCCAGCCTTCTTATCGATTAATGTACTTACAGTTTTCTTTACAGTTTCAGTCTGGCTTTATTTTAGTTGAATTTACTGTTTTGTTATTCCTGATGGCTTGTAGTTCCTTAATCACAATGCATCGTCGGTAGTTCGCTGCATGATTTTCTCCACAGTTGAAACATTTAGCCGGGATTTCTTTGGCTTTAGTGCATTCTCTGATCCAATGTTCACCAGCGCATTTAACACATCTCGGATTTTTGTGGCTTCAACCTTAACACCTTTTGCACTGGGGCATTTGTTTTGGCTTTCTGTATTCTTCGATTTTGACACGCATTCCTAATATATTTGTTATTTCATTGATTCATTTTACATCTTCTCATGGTGCAAAATCCAAGATGTATAAAGGAAGAGGCTCTTTTGTTTTGTATTTTAACATTTGGGTTATTTTACAAATTTTATAATTGCGCTCCGCTTTTTAGCTACCACTTTCAGATTTCTGGTTTGCTTATTTTCATAAGTTGACCAGGACAAATTCTTTTCAGTAAGCATCTTTGATGCCGTTATTTAGCGCATGTGATAAAAATCAGCAAGAGTAGATTGAGTAAATTGTGAGTTTTTTAAAAATAAAATGAACGTTTAAACCTTGTCCCAAATCCATTTGTCTTTAATTTCTTTTTAATTATTCTAACTATTGCGGCAATTTCCTTTTTACCTTTTAAATTTTTCTTTATCAAAAAATTCAGGAATCTTCATTCCACTTCGAAACACTTCCGAAGTTTCATCGCACCGGCTTTTTTCACCTTCACAAATCAAAACATCCAGACATTTTTTTGCTTCTTTATTCAACTAAAATTTTTAATGATTTTCACTACTTTGTTGACACATCTTAGTTTTATCTACGAGTACCTAATAGAATTAGAGTACTGAACGTGTAACCAACTCTTGAGAAGTTTGAAAATTGAGCTTAGCTCTAGGTTGTTTAGAGGTGGAAATTTCTCGTTAGCTAATTGGTTACATAGCCGGTTGCAGTCATTTTCGCTTCGTTTCGTTTTCGGCGTAAATTGTATCTTTGCGGTTGTTGACATCTTTTACAATGTGCAATGGTAAATTACTAATAATTAAATTTATTAGTTTGGTGAAAATATTGAACTTTCGCAAAAATAGACTTTTTTTATTTTAAAATTGTTACAATTGATTTAAAAGCTTTTTCATCTTTTTGCTTTTTCATCAAGAAAAAGGTGTATAAACAAGTCGCTTCAATGTTTTTGACTTTATAAAACATTTGACTTGATAAAATCTGTGCATTTATGGTTAAATAAAGAAATACTTACTTTTAAGTATAAAAAACCAATGATTTGGCGTGATACGATCAAATCATCATGATATCTGGTAGTTTCGTGTTGAGAAACAAACTGCAAATCGATCTAAATGAAGTTATCTCCCAGAATGTAACTATTATTAGATCCATTCTATTGCCTTTATGAACCTCGATTGCTCAATCACAGCTCAATGATCTAGATGACTTGGCCAGATTTTGACCAACACCATTACAATGGCACACGCAATTGATGGAGCTGAATTGTTTGCCGACAAAGCTTTAAACGAAAATGTAATATTAGAGGTTGCTCTTGAAATTCCTTGCCCCATAGAACCCAGTGATAATCAAGAAAACGATTCTGTTCTAAACACAGATGTAATAAAAGAAATACTGGAATTGGTAAAGAGGTGGAGTAACCAATGTGTGATACATGAGCCAAATGAGGAACATGCTGGAAGCTTTTTTAAATATTCTTCAGAAACTTATATATCGTGGAAAAACAAAATTAGGTATACATAGAACATCACTGGATTTTCTGCGTAAACTTTACAAGCTTATGCGACAGCAGAGTTTAAACACAGCACTGGACTAAGAAAGATTGACATTTGTGATAATCTTAAGTATACAATCTACATTACATCAGCGCTAGGGAAACAGTATGTTAAAGCTCAGACAAAGATGGGAAATGATTCCAGTATTTTACAAAACTTTTTGCAAAATTGAATACTGAAAAGAGTTTGTAAAAGCGATATTTTTTATGGTCTAGTTTAGTAGTCTAGTTTTATGGTATAGTTTTACGTTTTTTGTTTCTTTTAGCTTGTTTTATTATCCAATCAGTCTCCAAAGCTAACTCATCTTCGTTTGTGGTATACACAACTTTGGTGGTTACTAGAGGGTTAAGAAACTTAATTGTTTGTATTTATTTCGCTCATATTATTGCGCATTACGCGCATTCCGATTTACTTACTTCGTAATAACAGCAATTAGGAATGGCTGAATTGCTATTTATTGTTATAAATCGCGTGTACGATTTGTATTATTATTATCAAAAATATTGTACTGTTCATACTATTTTACATTATTTATATCATCTAAAAGCGATTTATAAAGCGTAAAATAAAACACTTGATCGCAAAACACATTCGCTCTAGAGCGATGCAGATTGTAAATTTAAATATATTTTTTTAATTAATTAATAAGAAAACATTTTTTTTTTGTTAAAGGTTGGAGTGATTCAATCTAAAGAAATGTTTGAAAACATCGAACTTTTTAAATCATATCAACCAAATTCAAAGGACTCGAGAACGGCGACTCAAAATACTGAAATGCTGATGAAATTGAGCCAAGAAAGTGTGGGGTTGAGTGGAAGAGCTTTGAGAAAAATTCCTCTTCTTGCACACGCCATGTTTTTGGACGAAAAAACATTTGTTGATGTTACTATGTTTTTGGATGCGATGGGTAAAGCTATTTGTTACGAAAAATCATCTAGAAATGGTATTTCTGTGAAGTCGGGGTGCTAGAATAATATAATAATTAGGAACTTTTGTAAGATTTGATGTGTTAAAATAAATGTTAGGAAATATTTTTGAAATATGACATGGATATTCAGTATTCTTGTGTCAAACACCAAGTTTAACCTTCCAGTACACGCCCTTATGCAAGCTGTGGAATGTGAGTCCGCAATGGGGTCATACACACTAGTTAAGGTTCTTTCAATAAAACCAAAGTTTTTCAAAAGAACCTTTAAACTAATTTATTATTTTTTTTTATTCAAACGACGGATAAAAACTAACTTAACTTAAAACGGCGGCGAGGTGTTTTTATAATAAATGCTTATCGCTAACTCCTTCTCTAATGAGATGTCTGGTGGTGCGACATTCTTCCTTTATTTCCAGGAATTTAGCATAGATGATGCTCCATAACTCCTCCACCCCTAAATTCTAGATTCTCCTGAATCTCAGAACACGTTTTCTGGTTTTCATTGAATACCCTGCATTTGTTGTAGGTTAAAATAGTAATAATACGATACAGAACAATGTCAATAGACCAAGAGTCACATTAATGGTTAACATATTATTTTTCAGACGTGATATTTTTACATAATTTTCCTGAACAAGACTAGTTATATTTTTTAAAACGACATAAGAACGTTGCGCAACACTTACATTTCCTAATATTACTTTTGGAATAAGATTTTGCTCTAGCTTAATATTTTTGAAATAATTTTGAAGAACAATACTATCAATTTTATATTTACAATTATTAATATGATCTAATCGATATGTTCCTCTTAATCGGAGATTTCTATTATATTTTCCACAGGTTTCTTTTACTTCTTTTATTTGTGGGGTTACAAATAGGGTAACGTGCTTAGTGTCTATTATTTTATAATCGTTAATCTCTATTTCATAAAACTAACAATTTGTGAGATTACCGTGCGTTAATAATTTCAAATTCGCAATTGGTTTTATCGTAACGTTCTAACTGATTGTAACATAAATATTCATTTTGTCTCAAGTGATGACATTGCTCATCAATTAGAAAATAAACATTATCGTTAGTAGCGACGTATCTAGAGAGGGTTCTATTTCAACGTACGCACCATTAAGTAGTGTTGGTAGCGGATTTAATTCAAAATACTGATATTCTTCATTCGTGATTGACGGTATTTGTGTAGTTCTAAGAGACGGTCGTCGTGGATGACCCTGTAGAGTAGGTACCTGTTCACAATAAAATAAAGTAGTTCCTATCGTTATCAACCTACTTTTCTTAAATTAAAGTCACTAATGAGTGTCAAACGAGTCAAATTATTTGCGTATCATTTTCAAAAAAATGCATAATAGTTTTATATACCTTTATTAAGTTTAATAAAAATACAAATAAACGATTTATTTCTTGAAGACTTTAAATACTAAATACAAAAATTTATTTGTTTGCTGGAATGGCATCTACTATTCACATCATCTTATTTTTGAAACAAGTACACCTTTTTGTACTGCACTGAAATTTCGAAATCTAGCATTGGCATTTTGACATCCTTTGCCCAAAAAACGGTGACTGTGAAGTGCAGGCCTCTCTTCAGAGGCGGTGCTACCGGGGGGTGCAAGGGGTGCACTGCACCCGGGCGTCGCCTAAAAGGGGGCGCCGGCGCCTTTTTAATGTTTTCTCCAACAATATCTTATCTTTCTTTTGCAGTATTTATCCTGTCAGCAGTAGCTAGTCTTCAGAAAGCAGTATTTAGTCTCCACAAAGCAATTTTAGTTTTTAGTAAGCAGTAATTAGTGTTCCAGACGCTGTATTTAGACCTGTCTTCAGTATCTAGTCTTCAGAAAGCAGTATTTAGTCTTCTAGAAGCAGTATCTAGTCTTCTGCCAAAGTTATGTATGTTTTCTCCAAAATATTTTATCTTTCTTTTGCAGTATTTAGACCTGTTAGCAGTATCTAGTCTTCAAAAAGCAGTATTTAGTCTTCTGCCAAAGTTATGTATGTTTTCTCCAAAATATTTTATCTTTCTTTTGCAGTATTTAGACCTGTTAGCAGTAGCTAGTCTTCAGAAAGCAGTATTTAGTCGCCACAAAGCAATTTTAGTTTTTAGAAAGCAGTATTTAGTGTTCCAGGCGCTGTATTTAAACCTGTCGGCAGTATCTAGTCTTCAGAAAGCAGTATTTAGTCTTCTAGAAGCAGTATCTAGTCTTCTGCCAAAGTTATGTATGTTTTCTCCAACAATATCTTATCTTTCTTTTGCAGTACTTAGACCTGTCAGCAGTATCTAGTCTTCGGAAAACAGTATTTAGTCTCCACAAAGCAATTTTAGTCTTTAGAAAGCAGTATTTAGTGTTCCAGATGCTGTATTTAGACCTGTCGGCAGTATCTAGTCTTCAGAAAACAGTATTTAATCTTCTAGAGCAGTATCTAGTCTTCAGAAAGCAGTATTTAATCTTCCAGAGAAGTATCTAGTCTTCAGAAAGCAGTATTTAGTTTTTTAGAAGCAGTATCTAGTCTTCTGCCAACGTTATGTATGTTTTGTTCTTGATACTGACAGCTACTTCTTTCTGCGTATCTATCATCATCTTTTTGGGAGTCTCTTATTATCTATACGGATCTTGTACCACCCGGTACCTCATTTCTGCAGCTGTTTCTTTGTTTTTGTGCTTCTCCTGCATTGGCAAAGTTTCCGTATTGGTGATTTCCTGTCCTGTGCAATAACAAGACAAGTTCATTGGTTTCTTGTTCATATTCTTCGCATTCTTTTATTGAACACATAAGTATTGCCATGAAAAATCATGTTTGGTTTATAATCAATTTTTTGTTTTCTCTGAACACTAATTTCAGACTTCATGTGGACTTTGAACAATGTAATTCCTGTTTTTTGCTGAAGCCTAGTTTATAACTATTACAATTTCAGACTCCGGTTCCCACACCCTGGCGCTTCATTTGCAAGCGCCAGCACTGCCTCTCTTAAAGAAATAAAGCATTCCTGGGGAACATCCTTATATTCAAAGGATATTAAAGACACCGATGTCAGGTCGCTTCGACTTAACCAATTTTTTAAATACCCTGCTTTAGTAGTAATTTTATAGACGTTATTCGCTGATTCTGTTATAATTAATGCTTAAAGAGCTATTTACCTGTAAATATTTTAGCCATATTCTAATTGCCTACTAAAGTAGAATTTAGACTGAAATAAATAGAAAAAAATATTTGCTTAGGCAGATAGTATCTGACTAGGAAAAAGCTATTTACCTGAAACAACCATTTGCCTGCGACATATACATACATAACATTTCAAAAGTATGAATTGTTATTAGAAAGTTATTATTGTTATTAAAGAATTGATATTATTGCCTGTTAACAATATCAAATGTTTCATATTCATTTAAATATTATTATTTGTAACAGTTAGCCAAAAAAAGATAGCGCTAAAGCGAAATTAGAAATTAAATTGAGCGTATTGATAAAGGTTAAATAGGTATAGATTTCAGAAAAGAAAAATATATTTATTACTTTTACATAGAAACACAGTAATATTCACATACATATATTAATCAGAAACTACAAAACAAAAAGAATTGAAGTCTTAAATACTTTAGCCGGTTACATTTTCTTCCTTAAATATACTGGTCAATAAATTATTTCAATTATTATTCACTAGCGGTACATTGGATCCAAATCTAAAATATATTTTTGAGCAGACAATCCACCAGGTTTTCTATTCACGACATCAGATCTTTGATATTCCTATCAAAAAATACATATTGGAATTATAGTCAAGTTATTATTTGTTTTTACTCACTTGATGGTCATAATCTGAACCTAAAAAGTTGACATCTTCTCGTCCACGTTTACCAAATCTAAAACAAATCAATTATTTAATATGCTATGTAATAATATCAAGCAGAAGGGTGGAATACGATTGAATTGAATTAATCACTTGTGTACAAAAGTCTGTTGAATTATATGTCAATAAATATATCTCAAAATTTCTTCAAACTTGCTCTACAAACGTCTCTATATCTATCATTTGCCGCTCGTCTCCACAGCCGCCCCCCAACAGGTACCTCCGTCCTCCCACCATCTCGTTTTCTGTTTTGTTTGTGTTAATTTCTAGCCCGACCTTCCTTGCTTTGTGCTTCAGTAACTCTTGTCTTCAGTGAGGCTGGACATTTATGATTGTGAAGTTGCTGAATTTGGTCGCTATTCTTATTGTACGTATTCTCGTTTATTGGTTTAACTATAAAGAAGTTCCTCTCATTAGTCGTGTTTTATTGGTTGAATAAAATCAAATTTCATCATAATCACTTTCTTTGCCGTCCTGGTTTCACTCATTCTGAAGATGTCCCATACCCCTTAGTTTTTGAGCTTTTGCAAACCTAACAATGTTTTCTCTATCAACAAGGTTGTTGATTTCTTCATTAGTACTACGTAAGTTACATTCGAATAGTCTAATATCTTTAAGCTATTCTAATCTTTGTTGTACATGACCATGATTTGGAAACTTCGCTTTTAATTTTTTAGGCAGCAGTTTTGATTGGAATAACTTTCTGTGAGCGAAGTAACATTTCCAGCTCTAATTCTGTCTTGTATTTAGTGTTGTATATTATTACCATTTCTGACTAAAATGTCCAAGTACCTAATGCTTTCTACATCTTTAAAGTTGTATTCAGCAACAGTTAAGTTTTGCGGAGTTCTTCTATTTTCATTTTGGAATATTCTCATGTATTTTGTTTTTTCCTCACTGATTTTTAGGCCAATCTTTAAACAGTAATCAAATTTCTGTAATTAAACTGAAAAAATGCAAACTTCTAGAACATGTCTGGTACTAAACTTGCCAAATTGTACATTACAAGAAAATATATGAAATTACGCTGGCAAAAGTTTAAATTGCAAGAAAATGTCTGAAACTTTATTGGCAAAGCTATAAATAGGAAGAGGAAACCTAGGTTTGTGATATCCAAATTTCAAATTGGAAGGAAAGACATTTGTGATCGAAGTTGTTGAGGTTTCTTAGAGTTTGAGCGTTGACTGCAGGGTCCTGTCAATGACGTATGTTCTGTTATTTTGAAACCTTTCGTGCACCATTAGACCGACACCCGACGTATCCTCTTTCTTTATTATTATTTATATATTTTTTTTATTAAAAATCATATTTAAAAATTTAAAGTAACTTTTTTTTGAATTTTTATATTATGAGAATTGATTGCCTCGCTATGGTGACATGTTGAATTTTCTTTTAAAAGAAATGCTGGTTTAAGGTTGTTGATGTTAACAGCTACTTCCTTGTTATTTTTGAAAATTACAAAATATTTCGGAAATGTTTTTATCACTTTAAATGGGCCTTCATATCTTGGTGTTAAAGAGGGTTGAATCCCATTAATTTTGACAAAAACAAATTTTGAAATGAATAAATCTTTATGAATAAATGGTTTTTGGTTAGAATGAAAAACTGTGTTTACTGGTTTCAAACAAGAGAATGTTTCTCGTAAACTAGATAGCAATGGATCAGATTCCAAAGGGTGTTGAATATTAACAAAAAATTCTCCTGGAAGCCTAAGTGGTTGACCGTATACAAGTTCGGCAGATGAACAACCTAGGTATTCCTTAAGAGATGAGCTGAGGCCTAGGAGAACCAAGGGAAGATCATTGTTCCACCTCGTAGTGTTACCTCTGGTAGTTATGGCTGTTTTTAAAGAACGGTGAAACCTTTCTAAAATTCCGTTGCTTTGGGGATGGAAGGTGGATGTATGAATTTGACGTGTTCCTAGAAGGGTGTGAAATTTTGAAAAGAGTTTTGATTCGAATTGTCGTCCCTGATCATGGGTTATAGTGCTAGGAATGCCAAATCGGCTGAAATAATGCCGAAACAAAGTATCCGCAATTGAAGAAGAACCAATATCTTTGAGAGGAAAAGCTTCTGGCCAACGCGTGAAACGATCTATTACGGTGAACCAATCGCTTCTTTTTTATATTCACTAAGATACCAAATGCATGAAGGAAATCCGCACCAATGATTGATTTACTAATATTAGCTATAGTAAATACGAATGGAAAATTCCTTCTTAGATTTAATGAAATTGTAAGCATTTTTTTACCGTATGTAGTAATTGTGGTACCATTAGCAGCAGAAAGGTTTGAGTTGGTATCTTGGTTACGTTTCGGATATAATTTGTGAGGTAGAACCGAAATGTCAGCTCCAGTGTCAATTAAAAAATTTAGGTTATTTTGATTGTCAAAAATGAAAAGTCGCGAACTCACAGAATTTACCGTAAATTGAGGTAAATTTGTCAAAATTTTGAATTTGGAAAAGTTTTGTTTTTCTTTTGAAACCTTTATTAGTTTTTTGATGTCGATGGAAAACTTTTGTTTTTGTCGGTGAAGGAATTATAAAATTTGCAATATGTTCCTCCACATTTAACCGCGTTATCTCCAAATTTACGGTGATACCAACAAATAGTGGAATAACTCGTAGAATTAGATCTATTCCGCGAGTGACGTGACGAAGAACGATGTCTATCTCGAGAATTGTGAAAACAATTACAATTACAATTCTTCGACGTATTTGTTGGTATGTTTTGAAATTGGGCAGTCAAAGAATTTATTTGATTTTCTAAATTTTTTGTCCTGTTGTTGTTGTTGTTGTGTAATGGTAGTCACTAGTGCTTGACACGTTAACGTCAGATTTTGGATTGTTGTTAATAATTCGTCGTGTGATGGTGTTTTTGTGGTGCGATGTTTTTGAACTTCCGAGAGGTGTGTTGAGGTCGACGTCAAATTCATTGATTCCCACACCTTGTCGGCAATGGAAAGAATGTCCACAACGTCCTCTTTGCCAGAAGCGAGGAGTGCAACCGAAACAACACGAGGTAGTCTCCTTTGCCACAATGAGAACCACCAACCGTGGTCAACATCGCTCGATAAAAATCTGACGGTTTTTGATCTCCCATTTGAGAACCTAACAGAACATCGTCCAGACGTTTTTCTTCACTTAATGATAACCTGTCGACTAACAATTTTTTGAGTGAAGAATATGGATTTATGTCTGGAGGGTTCTGTATGAGATCTACCACGGTGGGGATGATCTCAGTGGGTAAATTTGCCAAAAGAATGTTAAATTTTGTTTTTTCACTGCTAATTCTAGTTAGAGTAAACTGTGCTTCAACTTGTCGAAACCAAATATCGGGATTAGAAGGCCAAAATGGTGGTAATTTCAAGTTTGAAATATTTTCAATCAGTTTTAATAAAAAATTATCTAAAAAATACGTTTAGGTTTTCTATTAAAGTAAAGCAAATTTTTTAATATTTGTTTTTGTTAAATAAAAATTGTTGAAAATATGATTAATTTTTTGATTCCTCTTAATATTAGTCCTACAGGAATGAAAAGTGACCTTACTCACCGGCACACGACTGTAAACAAAACGTTTGGAATCTTGATGGTTGCGGGACTGGGCTGGCGCTTGTTCTAACTTGATGGAATGACTTGACGTCTTGTTGTCAATTGAGGTAATGTGGCTTTGGTTTGTCTTTATTGGGTATGGGTAGAGCACAAGTTCAAATATTTCGTCGGGGGCAGGTTCAAGCTAATCTTCAGGTGCAGGCATAAAGTAATCGCTAGGGTAGGTTCCAAAAATTCGTCGGGGGCAGGTTCAATTTTCGGGTGCAAGTATAAAGTAATCGTTAGGGTAGGTTCAAAAAATTCGTGGTTCAAACATTGGAAGGACTGATCGATTGATTATAATAATTTGATTGATAATAATTTTATATAGTAACGTTGTTTTGTTTTGTACATGTCGTGTTCACAGCATGCTACACCACCTCTCCACTGCAGGAGGAGTTCTTATTTACAATAAGTCAAATATTACATATTTTACATAACAAAAGTTAACACTTGAATTACAGAACATAACACAACTACAGGTAGTGAATTTCTGTGAGAAAAAGGTAATGTGTTTCAACTAACAATAATATGTTTCAAGGGATGTAGTTGTGGCTCTATAGTCTACTAAACATTAATAGAGATTTTAAGGAAACTAGTGAGTAAATCAAATTAGCAAACAAATTGAGGTATAGACTGATTCCTGTTAAATATCTATCAATATTTATTTAAATTAATCAATGTATAAGAGAATAAAAAGTTTAGTTATTCATGCATCAAAGTAATAAAGCCATATGCTTTTTATATATCAATAAAAATTATTATAAAAATTATTTTAAAAAATGTGGGTGCTAGTATTAGTAAGGTGTATTTTTTTAAATAAAGCGTTTGATATAAAAAGCATTAAGAGCTCACCTTGGTCTTGACCTATCAGCATACAATTTGTCTAGATGCTGCAGTCTAAGCATGTTGATAGCGCGTTGGACTTTTGGTGACATACTAGTTGAGGCTGATGGTCCACTGCGCACACTACCTGCCACCACTCAGCGTTAGCAATAATTATAAATAAAGGCAACACTTAAACTAATTTAAAATTACTCGTGCACAAACTATATCATATATCTATGTATTTATAAACATAAAGCTACATAAAAAAAGCGTAAAATATAAAATTTATGTGGCTATTCAACTTAAATAATATGAAAATGGGGACAAATCGACAATTTGTGGACCCTTTTAGTGCTATTTTATAATAGTATAAAATATTATCACATGCTTTTATGCTAAATATCGATTTACAATAACGTTTATAAAAGAAATAAAAATAAAATTTACCTAGGTCTCGCAACTGCGGAATATAACCTATCCAACTGTTGTAAAGTCTTCAGAACATCTTCAGTTTGGGGACTAGGAGCCGCACTCGTCCATTTACCTTCGAGAATAACCGCAACGATCGCCATCAAACATAAATATGATATCCTCATTGTTAATATTGGTTTACTAAAAATTAAAACGAATATTATGTAAAATATATCAAAATCGGTTTCGAATTAGTTTAGTTCAATTCAAAGTTTATATAAAATAGAAACTTTTCTTTCTGTAAACAATTAACAACGTCAGCGTACAATTACAACTTTTAATAGGATGTTTGTAATTATAAAAGTTGCTGTTATCGTTACTCTAATTGAATTTTATTCGCTTTTATATAAAAAATATTTCAATATTTCTCCATATTTTAAAATTAATTGCTTGGAAATATTGATTGAACGACATCCTCGATGACATCGTTAACGTCGTCTGAAATGTATTGAATAGAAGTAGATTAGTTTTCTACGATTTTGCTCTAAATGTGATTTACGAAATAATCCTGACTTTTAAAACGCATGCTGAATTAATACTCAAAGTTCTTTATGAAACCGTAAGGAAATCTATTTAAATCGGGACCTTAATGCTGAAAAGTGGTAGAGGAACGAGATTTAAATAAAACGATTCGGAATAAAATGAATGAAAATTCTTTGAGAGTAATATTAACTACGTACCTAATATTAAGGAGCTCAAGTGGCTCATACTTAATGACTAGACTATTTTTGTGTTATATAATTAAAGAAATATAGAATTTTAGAAAGATTAATCAAATTTCATCGCCATGAGTACGTGCGGAATTTGTAACTAAATTGTATCTCGTTTTAAAGACAAAGTCGTATGTGCATCCGAGCTCTGTTCGCGTATGTACCATATCAAATGTGCTAATATAACCGAAGATGAACTAACAACCCTCAATTCCACGGGAGAAATAAAAAATTGGAAATGTTTAACATGTATCCAAAATGACAGCTCAGCGAAAACAATCACTCCAGTCAACGTAGTGAGTAGCCTTAATATTGAAGAAATAGTTACCATTAAGGTTAAATATGCAATAAATCAGATAAAAGAAGAAGTTATTCAATTGTTAAAAAGGGAAATAAACAATTTATATGTTTATAATAACAATTTAAATACAGAAATCTGTAAACTGCAAGCAGAAAATAAGACCACGACGAAGTTTCAAAATTTAAAAACTTGTTTGGTTCTTCTTTATCAGATGGCGAAACTAGTATTAACGATATAAACATTGATACTGATCCTAAACTGAAACTTGTAAAAAAATTGGAAAAGCATCCAAACAAGAACATCGATACCCAAAAGAATAAGGAGACTACAAACAAAGAAAAAACCGTAAGGGAAACTTACGCAAAAACGTTAAAAACAAATAAAAATGTCGCAGTGGACGAATCAAATTGTACATCAAAGATTATATCTAACGCAGAAAACGCACAAAATGTATATAAACGATCTAAAGTAGAAGCGGAGGTTGACGATTTTCAGATTGTCACAAGGAAACATAAAAACAAACTCAATAAAAATAGGGCTATAGTTGGATCTGCTGAAAACACAACTATTAAGGCAGCTGTAAAGTACACTTATGTGTATGTAACGAGATTCGACAAAGATATTACCACAGATAACCTAATTACTTATCTAAAGGAGAAGAGCTTTGACGATGTGAAATGTGATAAAATGAATTCAAAACGTCCTGATATCTACTCCTCATTTAGAGTAGGTGTCCCGGAACACGAAGTAAATAAAATTAAGCAACCTGAAAACTGGCCTGTCGGTACTTACGTCAGTCGTTTTTTCTGGAAGATGAGCCCTCAAATCGAGACAACCTAACACATCATTTCTCATTGTATTACCAAAACGTACAATCACTATCGACTGCGATAAATGGCCTTATAGTTGAAATTGAAATTCTTCAAAATTGTAAAATGATCTTTTTTATAGAACGTTGGATGGACACGGAAACACTAAATTTAGTCTCATTACCGGGTTTCCATTTAACATCATTTCCATTCAGTCCATGGCGGGTGCGCTATATACATCGCAAACGATCTCTCGGCAACGCCAAACAACACTATCACTCAACTGTCGGTAGAATTACTGTTTGAGTGCTGTGCAACCAACGTATATTACAATAAATGTCATCTTCTTCTTATCTGTATATATAGATCGACATCTACAAAAATTGAAGATTTTATTCTTAAATTGGAAGAATTGCTCGACACTATCTGTAAACTCAATATCACCACACTAATTGCAGGTGATTTTAACATTGACCTTTTAAAGAATGACAAATACAGTAATTATTTTAAACAAACAGCAGTTTTGGAATGAATGTTGTTTTCGATGAACCCACAAGAGTAGCTACTTTGAGAAATAGAACAACGTCATCTTGCTTGGATAACATTATCACTTACTATCCAACGAACAAATTATTGACCGTAGATAATTCAATTATCAATACGTTGTTCTCTGATCATAAAGAAATACGAATTCTGAGTAACGAGAAAGCTGCAAATTTCCTTCAACAACTTGCAACAGAAGAATAGTCTGATGTTTATTGTAATGGAAACGATTTCAATATTCAATTTGATGGTTTCATAAGTATATTTCTTGGACACTTCAATACATATTTTCCATTAAAAAAAATGCCTATTAATAACCGCAAACAAAATTTTAACAAAGACCTGCTCGCTCTACGAAATACAGTAAATGAATTAAGTACGGCAACACACTATGATGATAGTTTTAAACCTACTTACATTCTCTATAAAAAACTATGTGATAATACTCTTACATCAGCAAGACGTAAGTTTTATGACGATAAAATAATAAACGCATCAAACAAAAACCGAGAAGTATGGCGTATTATAAAGAGTCATACTGGAAAATCATTCAAAGAAACTCTACCTAAGTTCGATAATATACAATTCCTTGCCGAATCCTTTAACGAAACTTTCTCACAAATGAACACTGGAACTGTGCTTTCTCCTAGCGCTGTAAATATTTCAATCCAACCCAATTCATTTTATTTTTTTCCAACATGCACAAATGAACTCCTCACATTTATTATACATTTATTAGCATCTGGTACTGATGATATACCAATCGATTTCCTAAAAAAGTATCCCGGATCTTATCTAGAACCCTTAACCTATTTGATAAACAAGTCATTTGAGAATGGAATATTTCCGGATTACCTCAAACAATTCAAAATTCGACCGATTTACAAGAAAGGAGACGTGAACGACCTTCATAATTACCGATCTATAAGCCTCTTAACTGGTTTTTCAAAAATTTTCGAAAAGTAGCTTATGACAAACTCAGTTCTTCATGAAGTATGATTTGATAAATATACACCAACACGGTTTCCTCAAAAACAGAAACGTTGAAACTGCACTGCATGATTTCACGGAACAAATATATAACGCTCTTGAAAATAAAGAAGTGCCTTGTGGAATTCTGCTTGATCATAATCTATTACTATGGAAATTGGAAAGATATGGAGTGAGAGGTACTGCTTTATCCTGGTTCAGATCTTATCTCTCTAATAGGAAACAGTTAGTCCATTTAAACGTCGCTGGGGCTTCAGTACAGTCCAGAAATGTTATAATATCTAAAGGTGTACCACAAGGGAGCATTTTGGGTCCTTTACTTTTTGTTATTTATATTAATGACTTACATGAAATAAAAGGTAGTGTTCATAATAATATTCTAACAATAAAAATTTTGCGGAGGATACTAACATATTAATCACCGGAAAATGTTTAAATACAATAGTGGATATAGGAAATGAATACCTATATGAGCTGGAATCTTGGTTATCTAACAACAAGCTAATTTTAAATCATACGAAAACAAATGTCATATTGTTCAAAACTAAGCCTATTAGAGATTGCAATGACACATTATTTCTTAACAATAAAATTTATCGCTGTTGTAATAGTGTTCGTATGTTGGGTATTATTCTTGATGAATGTTTAAAATGGAAAAATTACAATGATTATGTTTGTAGTAAAATCAGTTCCGTCTTGGGGCGGTAGTAAGCACTTAGAGCGCATTTTCATACTTCAAAAAGGAGTCATCAGGCTAATGTTTAGAATGTCTTTTAGGGAAACGTGTAGAAACGCATTTAAAACTAACAATCTACTAACCATATATGGAACATATATATATGAAATTTTAAAGTTTGGTTTTATAAATAAACATCGTTTTGAGGCAAATATGTTCTGCCATGAATATCCTACAAAATTCAAAAAAAATTTTTTTCTTCCGCAACACCGGCTAGCACTAACACAGTTCAGTTTGGGTTATAATTGTTTAAAAATTTACAATAAATTCCCGATGGCGATTAAACAAATTAATAGATTTATAATTTATAAGAGAACTATTTTTAAGTTATTATGTAATATAGAACCGTACTCTATGTCAGAGTTCTACAATAGTATTTGATAAGGGTAATAATTATTATGTTATAATTTTTGTTATTATTGTTACCTTTTTTTTTTTCATTTTTGACTTTTGTACGTTTCATGCATAACATAATAACGCTATTAGCTGGTGTTTTATTGTGCTTAAAAAATGTATGTATTTGAAATGCTTTGGCTAGTTATATTTGATGAATTATTTTAACGATGTTATTCACAAACGGTATGTATCAAATAATACATTATTTACAGTGTTATAAATTTGTTTCAACACTTTCAATTTGTTTAAAGCATCAAAAGTTGAGTTAAAAATGATTAAATGTGATGTTAAGAGCGTACATAATAAATACAACGCAAGTTCTTGAGGGAACAAATTAACAAATATATTGGAAAATTAAACCTTAAATTGAATTCTTGAAAACATTTTTAAGCTTTTATAATTCGACACATGGTGACAAACATGAAAGAAAGTAAACTTAGTGTACTCCAGATGTTTTTATTTATTGCTTTTTTGCTGTTTGGGATAAATGCAGTTGAAAGTATTGAGTATATTACTGTGAGTAACGCTAGGAAATAGTGGTATAAAGTTTATTCGAAACAATATTAGTTTCTTTGAATAAATACGGTTTGAATTTCATGCAGAGAGGTTTAAGAAATAGCTCAAAGTTGGCTGGCGAGGGTGTTAACAATGCCCAA